GGCTTGCCCATCTTGCGGGAATGCGCGGAGGCGCAACAAGATCTCTGCTACCGCTGAGAGGCATGGGCCAGACGCAACGGATGAAACCGCGAGTGAACTGCATCCACAGTGAACAGGCTGTCTTTCAAAAAAGGCAAGTCGCCAGTAGAGCCGTGCAATGCTGTGCAGGACCCCCGTCAGCAGTCTGCTGCCTCTTCCGATCATCTTCTCGAGATCTTGACCTCGAGGCTTTCTTCTTGGGCGCCTCACAGGAAAACGGAGGTTCGCGCTGAGAGAGAGAGGTACAGGTGCAAAAGCAGCCTTGGTGCCAGCGTCGTGTGAAGAAGACCGCTTCCTTGCGCGTGACTTGACAGCTTCTGGCACAAAGCACCACGAAGAATCTGCGTTGACGGACAGCCCCGAGCAATCGGCTTCTTCTTTGGAGACTTCTCAGGCATCGCCTTGCTGTCAACTCAACTACTTCTTTCCATTGGACGAATACGCCATACTTCAGAACGGCCAGCCTGACGAGGTGCACGCCGATCGGCGTGGCTACCTGCCCCGATCACGCCGCAAACCAACGCACTACAGAACCGCAAACCTGTTTGTTTTTGAGTCTTCCTGCCGTGACCTGACAAATTCCAGAAAGACATCCCATTGCCAAAACTGAGCGAGCTCTGATGAGGGCTTAAGTTTAGGGTTTTGTACTTTCGGGTAGATGGTCTTGGGTTTAGGGGTAGGGCTTGCAGCTGGTTGCGCCTTTGGACATGCGCCTCAGCGCAAGAGTTCGCCATGAGTCAAGAATTCATGGCCCTGCTGCATACACTGGTTTCAAGTTGGGAACTCCCAGTCTGCTTCGAAAACAGGTCCCGTCGACATGCTGGGACTCAAAACTGAACCAGCTGAAAAATCTACGGAAATCTTAGCAGGATCTGAAGGCACGTGTTTTTAACTACTGTGCTGTGAAGTGTAGCAATCTCGGCAGTCGGCTTTCAAGCTTTGAAGCTGCGGGCACAGACAGATGCCGATGCTCAATAGAGCCCACCGGGAAAAACTGCATTGCCGCTCTCGCCTCCCACCTCTCTGCACGGCCTTTCTCAAAAGAAATCCCGCGACGGGCAAAGTCTCGGCTGCGAAGTTGCACGACCTGGCGCTCGGCCTACTGCGGCTCACTACACCGAAGGGAAGGGAGTCAGGTCGTATCGTCGTTGTTCGCCGGCCAATGCACCGAATACATTACATGATACTACATGCACTTCCAGCATCCGGTCGTTCCAACATAACCGACGAGATTCTGGTTGTAGACGCTCTAAACTGGGTCACAAACAGAGAAGCGACATCCACGGATCCAGAGCTAAGCACGTTGCCGGCAAAGTCCTAAGTGACCTTTTGACTCACAAGAGCAGACAGATCTCTCTCCGGCATCGGCGCTTCACTACCACTCAATGTTCAGGAACGCGGCTTTTCCTGAGGCAAGCACCCCTCCGGCCACACAGCTGGAGCAAGGACAGCTCCAACGCACACGCACGCCGAGCCTTCTTGTTCCTGTACAGAGCTCCCAGACCGCAGCCTGCCACCTGCGAATCAAACAAAAACAAGGCCTCGTTGCTCTTTTCATTGCCGGGACTGGACACTCGTGCAAGCTGTCCCTTGTCCCTCCTTCACGACCTTGAAGCGAACGCCAGGAATGTCACCAACCTACGTCAACGCACCGGGCACACGAAGCCGTTGATACTGGCAAAGCCCT